GAAGAAATGCCACCTTTCCCAGAGAAGGAAAGTTCCTTACTCGCCAAATTGAAAAAGTCAAAACCACATGTCGAAGAGCTTGTAAATCAAGCTGCTGAAAAGAAGCAGCGTCCGACTGCAATGATGAATCATGTAAATTTCCTTTTTTTTTTTTTTATTTTTAAATGTATTTCTACAGGCTGTATTTCACTTGTTAACATTTTTATGTACTTGGATTTGTTTTTTGTTTTCTATTGGTGCTGTATATGAGATTTTACAGGATAAGTAAGAGTCTTATTTTATGCGACCCATCACTTCAGGAAACAAAGCAAACGTCAGGTCAGTTGTTAGATATCAGTCCTGGTTTGGAATCCAAGGCTCTGGTCGACATATTTAGTTCTCCAGCTGCAGCAAACGGTATACAGTCTTCAGTGGCTTCAACAAATGGTGAACCCACCGTGGATAATTATCCGGATGTTTTAAAGTTAGTACTTGATTCGATTTTAAGCAGTCTCTTACGAATTTATAGCTGAAAGAAATTTTATTATTTGCAAAAAAATATTTTCGTGAAGTCGACTTATTTTACATTACAGATTTGCGACAAAGAACAGTGGTGTTCTTTACGAAGACTCTACAATTCAGATTGGATACAAATTAGAAACTCGAGCTAACCTAGCACGCTTAGGAATGTTTTATGGCAATAAAACTAATTATTCATTCACCGATTTTAGCCCAAGCCTGTTTTGCTCTGGAATCCTGAGCAGTCAGCTGATTGCACAGGTATAATTGATTTTATGGTTTTGTCATTATTAATTCAGTAATAATCTTATTTTTGCTCCTGAAAATTGCTGCTACGTTAGTATCCCTGCCGTAAAAATAATGCTACATAGACTATTAATGTATGGTGCAAAGAATTATTTCGGAAATTACTTCTGGATAAGTTTGCTTTTCTTTGAGTTGAAGTTCTTGTTGCAGTGTAAAGCAGTAGATAGTACCATCACAGGTGGATCACAAGTGCAACAGTTAATCAATTTTGTATGCGAACAAGAATTTCATCGTTGTCCTCTTCTTCACCTCATTTTCACTTTCTCGTAAGTTATCAGTTCAGTGGGATCTATGTGAACTGTTGAAAATTGTTTTTTTTTTTTTTAATTCATGCTCGAGTTTAATTATAACTTAAGCTATCTAATGCTTATATAAATTTAATGCAACAAAAGATTGACTTGTTGTTTCTGGTTTCTTGAAATTTTCGTATTGGAATTAGACTGTAGTCATCTGTCCCGTTAACGTATAATATTCAGGAAGTGCGGGAACATGCAGTGTTTGAGATTTTCTGAAAGCTAAACTTTAATATAGTTTCACTTCCATTGCTGAATAAGTGTACTTTCAGTGATGTTAGCAATAGACAACAGTCTTTTGACAAGACTTTTGCACTTCCAATCTTCATCAACAAATTTTTCGAGCCTACGGATATGTCCTCAGAACAATTCTTCACCCGTTGGAAACAACTTTCTCAGTATGTCACATGTTTCATCGTTCCATTGCTAGTTAATATTGTCATAAAGAAAAACAAAGCAGACATTTTTTACAGGTCAAGTCAAGAGAATCAAAAAATATTTCCTGCGAAGTTACCGATAGATCGAGAACAAATTAGAACAAAGGTAACTTAGCATCATTATTTGGTTGTTTTTTGGTCTTTTTCTGTAAGTTCCAGTTTTTTCAAGATGCGGAAATTACCGTTCCCTAAAGTCTGTGCAAAGTCTGCTACTGATTCCTTCTACTTATGAAAGGTTTGAAATCCAGTTTACTTGGAATCCCTAATCTTTAGAGGAGATTCTTGTAAAAGTGAATCTCAGCAAAGGATGGGAATTAAATCAGACGGTCGGATGCATACCTGCTTGGCTAAAATTCCCGAAATGCATTTATAACTGAGGCAATTACAATTAAAAAAATGATTTTTGAAGCTGAGTGGTTTTGGACCTCGGCTGTTACAAGAAGTAGATCCAAATCCCGAAAATTACGTTTGTGCTGGAATAGTCAATACGAAAATGCAGCAAATTGGTACTCTTATTCGTTTGGAACCGAATAAACAAGCAAAGGTTATTCGATTACTTGCTATTTTAATTTTGATATACTGCTGGCTGCGAAGCTATAAATTAGTTTATGTTTAACCTCTTTTAGTATAAAACTTATTAGAATTTATTGTCGCGGTATGTTTCCTTCCGTTCTTTTACTAGGTTATTGATTACATGTCTGAATCATGCCTCATATATACATGGACTTGTGTCATTATTCGAATTTTCATGTTATTTGCGGTCAAGCATCGTTTTTTGCATGACCTAACCTTGAGTTAGGATCCAAGACTAGGTACTGTTCTAATCAACAAACTAAGCAGCGGAATTAAATAACTGCAAGAAAGAAAAGAATTGATAAAGAAGGAGAAAAGAATACATGAGAGGAAAAAACATGGTTATTACTGGTTTCGAGTTGAGATCTTGGTCTCTTTTACTGCTGGGATCATAAATGTAATGCAGGACCTAAGAATTAGTGCGGTAACGTTCCTCATTACTGTTTCATTATTGGAATATTTACAGATGTATCGGCTGACTGTGCGAAGTTCGCGTGATACTGTTGCAAGTCACTTGTGTGATATACTATCACAGCAGTTTTGATTTTAGTGGTAATCGTTAACTTGAGCTAACCTCACTGTTATTTGAATTCGGCATATATTCATATGGTACTGATGAAAACAAAAGAGCAGAAAGATTTTTAACAAAGGATTCTGCTTCATATGCTTTTTAATTTTCATACATTTATGCATACATGCATGCATATATATTCTCACGTTAGCAAGTATGTGTAGTAAACAGAACCTATATATATAATCATATGGTATTGGTGTGAGCGTATAGTACTGCGATGGAAGGAAATTTATAAGACTCTATCGTGGGTGTTATCTATGCCGTTATCAGTAAGTTTACGTTATCGATGTGTAAGCATAATACAGTTTCCTTCTTGATGTTTTTTTTCTATTTTTTTTAAAATCAGTTGTGTTATATAAGAAATTCTTGGAAATTTATCTCTTCTCTTACCATTTCTTTACTCCAGAACAACTATGAAGGGTTCGTTTGTGTTATTATTTACTTTCAATTATTACTGTAGTTTTAAACATATGCTTCAAGTTGGTTTTTGGAATTCTTTTTAAGAAAATCCTGTTTTAAAGACATAATTGCATTTTATGCTATATTTTATTTTATGGTATACATTACGGTGTATGTTTCAAAATGCTGAAAAGTTTCTTCCAGTTTGCTAGTAAGAAGTATGAGATTTTAAGCATTCTTGAAAAAAGTCAAGTGCAGGTGGGGATAATAACAGCAAAAGTATTCAGAGTGTGGATAGAGATCTGTAGCGGTCGAAGATCTTCCTTAGTAGGGATTTGTATGAATTTTGTTCTGGCTTGTAACTGTCGATTGCAAATGATCATTAGCATGGTTGGTTGGTTATATTAACTGAATTATCTTGATTGCTTATTGTTTCATCTATACTTTAAATTATTTTATTTTATAATTACTTTGATAATTTAATATTTTGATAGATTTATTATTGTTTAATATTTCATTTCCTGTTGGTGATAATAGATTTTTGTTTCGTTTTTTTCGAAAATTTCATATATTTCTTGTGATAATTAAAAATAGAACTGTGTTATCATTCCTTATGATGTAAATATTTCTCTCTTTTCTACTTTCAAATAGCCAGTTTCATTACCAAATGCGTTTCACGATGAAGTTGACGAACTTCTTTGCATATTACAGATGTTTCTCATTTGGTTATGTTTAATGAATTAATCCATTAGGTATGATTTTTCGCACGTTTGATAAGATTTTTAATGATCCATCCATGTAGTGAATAATTCAGGACTAGATCAATTATTTACGAACTTTTTGAACGTAATTAATTGAACACACATTCGAATCTCTTTCTCTGTCTAACATATGCTGCTAAAAGTCACTTCTTTTATTATTGTAGTTGAGTTTAATTTATTTTAATGAATAAATTATTATCTGTGATGTTTGTTATGTTTATTTGCCAACATTCTCAATAAGTGTTCATGTATCATCATGGGGGGATTATTTATCCTTCGGTATACAATTCTCTTATCAACCGTATGATTTTATCCCATCTACGACAGCAATGCAAAGTTTTATCACAGATACATGGAAATTATTTGGGACGGAACTTTTCGAACGGCATAAATTTGCATATTGATTCTATTGATGGTGAACATGAGGTGAACAGGTTTGCTAGAAGGTGAAGTTATATGCAATGGAGTGTGTCATGTGAAAGTTGGTAATATTGAAGGTTTGGCAAATACAGATGGGATTTGGATTGTTTTATTTTGTAGAATTTATTAATGAGTTGTGCGGGAAGCATATAAAAATTTGTCGTATTTGCTGAATTACTTCAGATTTTTTTTTTTTTGTCTTGAAGAGGGTTTAATAAAATATACCCAATTGTAATTACCGAACTGCTTAACGAAACAATCAATAAGTTCGAATTATTTATCAGTTTCAATGAGTAATATCATGTGATTTGAATTAAATTTACTTGACTGTTCTGTTGTTATCATTTATCTTTCCATGCAGAATTCGTCGTATTGATCGAGAAATGCCAAAAAACCAAACAACTTGCTTTTATTATATCGCAATTGTCGGGAGAAAAATTTGATGAAAAATGGTGGGAAAATGATCGTAGGGTTAATTAATAGACTGAATTTTTTGAAAATCTATTTTCTTGGAATTAAATTTAAATTCTAGAATATTGTCTCATTTCCTGTATTGCTCCGATTTTTACGTTTATGCTATTGTTGTTTTTTTTTTTCGTCTTTTTTGGGAAGAGGAGAGAAAAATGTGTATAAGATTGGTTAATGATCTTTTCAACAAGGCTTACTGTATTTGATAATTGTTAATTGTACGGGACAGTTATTACTTAGTTTAATTGTTTTTTATGAATTTCTCATTCCAGTTCAGTATTGTTTATATGGAAATTTAATAACTTGATTGTAATTAATTTCGACAACTGTTTATTAACAATGAACTCGTTTATACCATGGATTGCGCAATTCCATTGTGGTAATCGCAGTCCTATTAATCATGGTGATTTTTCGACTAATTCATTATTGGGATCCAGAATAGCAGGTCGAAATTCAGGTGAATTTTTATTGGAAATGAATCTTTCAAAAAAAATGTCGCAAGAAAAGGAAAAGATGAAGACAATGTATTATTTAGATTCGGATGCAGATATTTGTGATGAATTGGAAGGTATCTTTTCAAAAATGAATCCAATCAGCAAATTATCAAGGAAAAATATAAAGGTGAAAGTTTTCTTTGTCTGGTATTTGCATAATTTTAATTGTAAAATTTCTGTATGCTTTCGACTTTTCTTTTTTTCTTCCAATCAAATTTCAAGGTTTTAGGAGGGAACTTTGGAACGAAAACCGTTGCTCGCGGGACGAATCCAAACAATGGTAGGTGAAGAAAGCGGATCACCCAGTGATCGACAAAATCGCTTATCAAGTTCGGATGATGAGGATATGAAATATTGTATGTTTTTATTTTGTATGCATAATTATCATCTTTATGTTGTCTATGATATAGGCAACGGAAAAATAACAGTATAAATAGGAGCGGATTTTGTTCTACTCTATATATTTGCGCAAATATCCATAAATAAAGTGCATTTTAAGAAAGATGAGTTTTGGATTCCGAGATATCATATTTTGAAATATTGAGGTCTAAGATTTGGTGCTACTTTCTTATAAAATTATAAAGTTACGGTAATATGTAAAAACTGGATGTGAGCGAAATCAACTTGAATAGACATAGGTATCTTGATATCTTACAGATAATGAAAATTATGGTTCAGTTGGGAATGCTCAATTTGCAAATGTTGTTGGCGATGCCATTCATGCAATACGTGAAGGAGTTTATCCAGAACGAACCCGGCAAGGATCATCTGGATCATATTTTGTGAAGAACTGTGATGGAGTATGTAGAATATCTTAATTATCAAATTTTTTTATAAAATAATTCAGTGGTTTTTTTTTCTGTCCACAACAAGCACTTTTGGGAGCAAAATTTTTCACCTTTTTAGGATACTTTGATGAAAAACTAATTCAGTTTTCGTGAATTATTTCTCATTCTTGCAGGAAATCATAGGTGTTTTCAAGCCTAAGAATGAAGAACCATATGGTCGACTGAATCCAAGATGGATGAAATGGATTCATCGTATCTTCTTCCCATGTTGCTTTGGACGTTCCTGCCTTCTACCTAATCAGGTATGCTTTAAAAAAATCTTTTTCTGCGCTGTAAAACTTGTGGTTTAATTATCATAGCGATGTAGTGGTACAGTTAGTGGTATATTGGTCGAAATAGTCAGAGAGTGTTTTTATAACTTGGAAAGATGACGCATCATTGCAGGTCATTTTCCAGTTGCTTGAGAAGTTCAGTCTTCTGGAGTGCTTCTGGATTTTTGTCATAAATTTGAATTTCAATGTCGGATTCATTTTCTGTCTTCCTTGTATAAATAATAAGCCTTTTTCCTCAGTCCTAATGTTTTTTTTTCCTTCACTCTCCACTGTGATACAACTAATAACTGTTTTTTTTTCTTCTAAGTTTCTGTCCAAAATTTCTTATAATCCATGTAAGCTATTAGTTGTTTTCCCCTTATTTCAAATAATTTCTTGTCTTATTTCGACAGCATAATCAACGATTAGATTGAAATAAATAAGCTAAGTTAGTGTTTGTTTGTCCGTACTGATATGCAGCTACTAATCACAGCAATTTAACTGTTCTTTTTTTAGAAAAAACGAAAAAATTTTCTTGTTTTTTTTTCCTTTTGGAAATATTTTTCTTTAGCAATTTTACGTGTTTCATAGCATGGACAACATAGTCGAAAAATGAAAACATTTATTTTTGGTAGAATGGCGTCACACACTACAGACAACATTGATATTTGGAAAATAGTAATGAAATATAAAGGATGAAACGAAATTATGTAAGATTTGGCAGCTGATATGATATAAGCTTATGAACGATGCACTGAAGAAGCTATGAACGAAAAAAAAAAAACAAAAAACCTTTGGGTGGTGGCTCTTCTTTTTTTTTATTTCTTTGTTTATGAAAAGAAAAGGAAGCTTCATCCTAAACATGAATAATATTGAACGACAATATATATTATGATGAGTAAAAAAAAAAAAGTTTATGAAAATTTATATCTTTCCCGCTTGAAAAGAAAAATGATGGCAGTATCGATTAGGACTATGTTTTATAGATGCATGTGCATCTTATATATGTAATTATTTATATCAACTTTTTTTTTTGTCTTTTTCCAAGCGAAAATATTGTAACAACGACAATATATAGTACGAGCAAATGACATGGAAAAATGAAAAAGGAATCTTTTAGATTCAAGAAAATTTCATGGACAAGAAAACAAAATTGAATCGAAAAATTTCTATCCATTTATTACAATTGTTAAAAAACCAATAAATGGTCGTATCAGTATTTGATACTGTCTTTTTTTTTTCGAAAAATGATTCTGTCGTTAGCATACCGTGCCAGTAGATATAAGCACGCAAGATGATAAAGATTAATTTTGAAAAAGGGAAATTTTGTCATGTCTGATACTGGTTACCGGTAGTTATAGTAGCAGTTAGTAGTAGCAATAGTATTAGTGGCAGTTCGTTTCGCTCGATATTAGTTATATTCTGCGGATGTTGTAAGTATTGTTAATAGTAATTATTCTTATTATTCTTGAGACGTTTGAGACGGAGTACGTGAGTCTGAAACAAGAAAATAAAATGGAAAAAACTATTGGTTAATGGAATTTCATAAGTTAATAATTTAATAATACAATCCGGGTTTTAGTATTTTTAAATATCTTTTACAAAATATTTCAGTTCTAATCGGTTTTATGTGCAACATCATCTTCCAGTCTGCTGCTTTTCATTACGATAACTGTCTTTGTTCTCCTTTCTAAAATTACGAAATTAAAAAGAAAAGAAAAATTTACTAGGAATGATTTGACAACCTAACCAAATAAATAAGTTAAAGAAGTAATGGAGTAGATGAAATTTTGTTTTCCATAATGGAAGCTAATGGATGACCATGTCCGGCATATAACACTTCCACCATTACACAGAAGAAATACTGCTTTATATATTGCGAAATTCTTGATGTGAATGTATTTAAAATATAGCAAAGTTTCTCCTTCTCAAATTTCTTAAGAAATAACAAAATAGAAAAAGAATAATACCTTCAATTTCTTTTGAAGGTTCTAGAGTTTCAAGCTTGATTTTATCCGAAGTTGTACTTCCCACCATTGACGGATGATACGCTGATGTTGAAACATATGACTCACGTTGCACATCTGCAAAAGTTTATTTTTCCAAACTAATTCAGATTTCAAAATTTCGCATAGTTAATAAGGAAACGAAAATGAATCTTGAATTCATTGATTTCTTTGACTAACCCTGGTATGGTGTTGGTGTAGAAGTTCCAAGAGGTGGTGTGAGCGGATTGGAAGCAAATGTTGATCGTACATATCTTCTGGAATAATCCATAAATATACTGTAAAACTTTCAATTTCTTAGGAGAAAAAAGTGTAAAATAGATCATAATATGAATGAAGAACGGAAAATACCCACGTTGTTCCAGTCACGTAATCTTCTCCTAAATGTGGTAGTATGCCAGCACTATGAATGCCAGTACTTCTTAATCCTAGATAACCACCACCAAGTCTTCCAATATCACCGGCTAAACTTCGATCGACATAATCACGACGACGTCTCCTTTCATTATCTAATTGTTCTTTCATAATGCTAAGTTGATTTTCCAGTTGTTTGATACGATTTTGTTGCGTACGTTCACGATTTTCAATTATTCGCTCAATCTGTACACATATATTACCTTTATTAGGTACTCAATATATTACATTATTTGAGTATTTAAGTGTTAGAGAAGCTCTATTATTGAGTTATTTCTTCAAAACGGAATATATTTTGTAACAACTGAATGGTTCTTTTAAAAATATATTATGAGATTACAGTTTCAGTGGTATACAGAAATTATAGTTTTTTAAATTTTCGTAAAATTTTCCATAATTATAACATACTTGAATCTTTTCATTTCTCATCCGTTGCAATTGTTTATCTTGTTCTTCACGTTGCTTACTGCTAATTTCAATGATACGATTACCATTTTCAAATTCCAATTGTGCGATTTGTTTTTGCAATTGGGCACAATTTTTGTATAGTTCCTATAATAAGAAGCTTATAATGTTATATTCCTTGCTTCTAATTAGCTTTTAATCATATGTAACTAACATAAAGATGGAAGAGTGGAAGAAAAAAAAAAGAGTTAAATTGAAGGATGAGAGAAATGTGAAATAAGCACATTTGTAGAAATTTGCGTTACGTCCGTAGAAAACGAATCATTTGAAAGTAAATTAATTATCTCAAACTATCATACTATCATTATTCTCTAAATATTTAACATAAATAAATTGTTATTTCTAAACCTTATTTTCTCTTTCCATTGCATTCAATGATTTCTCAATAGCTTCACGTTGTAAGGCAGTTTCACGTATTGCTGCATCGGTGCGTCGTTTTTCACTCTCCAACTGTAATTCATTCATTATTTACGGTAATTATACCGAAAGTGATTTATTTATTCATCGGTACTGTCTGCTGCCCTCCAAAACATGTATAAAATTACCGGAAACTGGCTATGTAAATGAATTCACCAAAAAAAAAAGAAAAAAAAAAAAGGAAATAACTTTAAAGTATTGATAATTACAGATTTTAATTATTCATTTTTAAATGATTACCATTTCTATTTTCTTGATAAATGTTGCTCGATCACGTTTGGTATTTTCAAGTTGGCCCACCATGGCTCTTTTTTCACTTTCCAATTGTGCTAATCTTCGCTGAATTTCATCAAGTTCACGTTGTAATGTTCTTCGTTCATTCTTACAACTTTCAACCTGTTGCCTAAGATCATCTTCTGTTGCTCTTTGTGATGTTGTTGCCTGTAACTTATCCTTATTTAATTAGTAATTAAAAATGCTGGCAGGGGAAAAAAAAATAAAAATGACTTGTAAGACATTCATGTCATCCTTATGGAACATTTATATATTTGTGAAAAGGAAAAAGAAAAATGGAAGAAAAAATAAAACAGCAATTAAAGATTAATGAAATGAGCATGTATTATCTAAATAGGAACCTTCTCGAAAGCTAATAATCTTTCCTCAAGACGATTTTTCTCAGCATGAGCATCTTGCAATTGACGTTGCAAATCGGATGCTCTACTACTTAGATCACGTACACGTTGCTTAAAGTCACGAAGTTCACTTCGTGCGGTCGTTAATTCATGTTCAAGTTGTTGCTTTTGATTATTGGCAGTTGCTAGATCATTCTGTGCACCGGTTATCTGAAAATTTCATTTTAGACAAAAATTTATATTAAAATCGTGACTGTAACAAGTATTGCTAACGGGAAGCATACTAAAATTAGGACAGGTGAGAAAAATGAAAAAAAAAAAGGTAGTTACTTGATCTCTAAGGATTTGATATTCACTAATGGTTCTCGATTGATGGTCTGAAGTTTTCCGAAGTTCCAACTCGACGCTTTCAGCCTTTGAAAGCTCTCTTTTCAGTCTTTCCACATCTTCTTTCATATCGGTGCATTTTATTTCGCTTAATTGCAGTTGTCCGGATAGTTCTTTAATTCGTTCATTCAAGGACTAAAATATTGAAAGTTATAGAATTTCAAAAGAAGGATAATGATGTTAAGTGTGAGAAAAGTACTAAATCTTTTTACCTGTTTTTCACTTTCAAGATTAGTCTGCAATAGATTAAGACGCTGTGTTTCGCCTTCTTTATCTCGAAGTTTACTTTCAAGTTGGAAACGGTTAGCATCCCATTGTTCTTCACGTTCACGTAAGGTCCGTAGATCAGCTTGTGCTGTTTCCAGGTCATTACGTAGATTCTTCAATTGTTCCTATAAATGATATATTTGTAAACAGCATATAATCAGTAACGAAATTTTAACTATTATTTTACGAATGATTCCATTAGAGGTATTCAGAATTGACTACTAACATTGAGATGTCGTAGTTGTGCATCTTTTCCACGTGCTTCTAAATCTGCTGCCACCATTTTAGCTTTTAATTGACGTCGTTCTTCATCTCGTTGCTTCAATGCTTCTTCTTGTGAACGTAGTAGTTGTTTAGCTGATGCCAGTCGTACTTCTAATCCACGTTTCTCTTCTTCTACATCAGTTAAATTTTCTTCAATAGTTTTATAGCGTGTTTCTTGTTTATGAATTGTAGTGTGAGTGTCACTCGTCTTTTTCTTCAGACGATCAAGAGCCTCACGGTATTCGTTCTGTAACAATCATAATTAAATATTTGTACGGATAATGATGTTAAACACATAAAAAAAACATTATTTGAAATTCAAAATTATGATGATTTTTTTTTTTGGATATTTTTGAGAAAGAAATATGATCAATGTTGAAGGAATAACACTTACTCGTTCACGCTCTAATCTTTCAATTCGACCAATCAATGTTTGAAGAGTATTTTCAAGCTGATTAATATCAAGTGTTTCACCAATATTAATAGTTGTTACTGTAATAGATCATATTACTGCTAAAATATACTACTCAATCAAAGTAAATATTCCTAAATTTATTTCGCAATTCAAATAGAATTCAATGAATCTATTCATTCTTTCTTTTTTTTTCTCTTTTTTTTTAATCACTAACATTTTACGTATTTGTTAAATAAAGTAAAAATTAATCAACCTGCGGTACGTCCTCCCGTAGTGGTATAATCAACAGATGGTGGAAAAGGTATTGAACGTGGTATTTCAGTTTCAATCAATTGATCACGATCAACATCTTCCTGAAACATTGAAAATAACCAGTAGTAGTAGTCGTAGTAGTAGTAGTAGTAGTAGTAGTA